TATATTACCTTAAAAGCATGAACTCCTAACTTGAATGTTAAATTACTATAATATCCCTAACTTAAAACACTCATCTATATGTATTTGAATAACATATGTTCTCTTGAAAGGTTGTGACTTTTTCGATGAGTTGTGATTTTTTTGATAAGTTGTGACTTTTTTCAAAGGGTTTCGATTTTTCGATGAGTTGTGACTTTTCTATAGAGTTCTGCGTTTTTCAATAAGTTGTGACTTTTCCAAAGTGTTGTGACCTCTCCGACAGGTTATGACTTTTCAAATAAGACACAAAAACACTTCGTTATACTACCTTTTTTTTTACTATAAATAGAGGGACTTCCTCTCATTTTTCAACCACAAATTTTTTTAATCTTCTACTCTTCTTCTTCTTGCATTTTAAAAATTTTCGTGTGATTTATCGTTGATTAGTTTGAAGTTTAGCGGAATGAGGTACCATTATTCTGATGAAGTAAATCATTTTATCCTAAGAGGATATATTTCATAACCTCGAGTACTTAAGGTAAATAATTTTTCGATGATATAATAAATTTTTTTCCTTAATATATATAGTAGTATGTAATGTTCCAATACATGAAGTTAACATGATGTAGTCTAAATTAATTTGTTTTTTTTAACAATCTCTCTTGTGATGCATATATATGCTTCTGAATATCTTTTTCTAAAATTATTTAAATTCTCAAGAGCCAGAGAATTGTCACGATTTGTTTTGTTGATGCTCAAGACATAACAATGACTTTATTTATCAATGCTACTAATGTGATTTAGATTGTAACGAAATTTGCTTCAAAATAGTTATTACTATATAAACATTTCCCTTTTGTTTACTTATTTACTATTTCTTAATATTTAAGTATTTTAGACGATGAAAAATTCATATGACTTGTAATAATGCCACTTGAAGTTTGTATTAGTTTAAATTTTAATATTTATTTTATAGATAATTTTTATGAGATAAATATTTTTATTAATGCAAATACAATAAATGTAAAATATGTGAATATATATGAATCATTTAAAATTTATCATTTACAAAATAAATTTTAGATTCAGTAGTATGGAATAAACATTTTCGTTTTGTCCCTACACTAAATTAAAATCTACTAAGTATAAAAAAAAAATAGTAACAATAATTAAAATTCCTATTCATCTATGTAAGTATATAAATTTTTAAAGAAATTCAGATATTGCACTTTAATTCTTTAATTATAACATTATAAATTAACTTAATTATTACTAATTATTGCAAACGTTATTTACACTCTTTTACAATCTTTAGTTATAATATTATGAATTCACATAGTTATTACATTAATTATATCTATCTTTCATCTTTCATTATATTAACTTTTGACCAATAAATTTTCATATTACCGCTCGTATAGATCTAATAACACTGTATTGTTATTTATCCATGGATGAATCATGCTTGGTTGAATAAATTGAAAATCGTTTACAAGGATATGAACTATATCTTTGTTGGGTGTGAGGTAAACATGTAATATATGATTTCACAAATAGAATATATTCTTTAGTTTTAGTTTTTTCAGTTAAAAAAAAAAAGGAAACCTTTCTCAGTCAATTATGGACAGTCAAATAACTATCTTTGATTTATGTATATAGTCAATCGTGAAGTCAAATATGAGAGCCAACAAGAAGAACGTCATATGTTATGTTATAACTTATAAAATTTAAATTAATATACAAAAGAATAGTTCTAAAAAATAAAATGTAGTTGTTCTCTTCACATGTTCATATGGTATCTAAACAATTAAATGTGGAGTGCATGTGCAAACCACTCGTGGTTAGATGACAAGAAAAATACATAACAAATATCATCTATAAGGTAATATTAGTGAGATATGACTAATTACATGATTGAACATCTTCAAATTGAAATAAAAATATATATTGTTGCATTTAACTAATGAATTTTTTCATTGACTATATTCATAGGTTCGCGTGAATAAGAAATATATATGACGATCCACATTGAATATTAAAAAAAAATCTGCAATATTATTTTGTGCAAAGTTAATTATTCAAATCTTCGCTTAAATAATCGATACTATTTACTATAATATATATTTTCTAAATTGATAATCACGTGCAACACACATGTCGAAAAACTAGTATATATATATATATATAATGAGTAGTCACTTTGATTCAAATTATTACTTCAAAAATTTTAAATTAAATTTTTTATAGTTTAAACTTAATGTAGTTTCCTTAATCACTTTCCTATTATCTTCCATTGCATGCTAAAATTGGGACCCAAAGAAACTTGAAATGTAATCTATGCATAGTCTATATCTGATTAACCAATATTATTTTCATCCTCATTTATGTAATATTTTTTGATTGTCAAAATTAATTTGATTAATATTAAAAAATAAATTGAGTCAAATCAATCGAATACTTTAAAATTAACATTCAAATATAAAACTAAAAATATTATTTATAAATTACAATTTTTCTCATTTCAATATTCGGACAAAAACAAATTGTCTAAGTTTCCAAGGCAGGCAAAGTTGGCCTAAGTTTAGTTGTCTATTAAGTAATTTTTTGTTCGAAAACATGGACCACTAATTACTTTAATTTGTTTTTTTTTATGCAAGTCAATTTTGTATGGCGCTGAAGAAGAAATCAATTACGGTATTATGAGCACATACAACTAAATTTAATTTGTTGAGTTTGAAAAAAATTGAAAAATAAATTACTAAAAAAATTATTGATGTAATTAGACATTAATCAAACCTTGAAAGATTGTACAATTAGGAAAAGGCTTTTCCCCCCCTTTTTTGTGGTTAAATAGAAAGTTGTCGAGATATGAACTAAAAAAGGATGTCAAAATTTTACATATACGATTGTGTCGTTCCCGTTGTTGCATATGTCATGCATTCTTATTTTAATGATAAACTTACAAAAAAATTAAGGCACGAGGTAGAAAAAGTGAGGTAAAAGATAAAATAAAATTATTCAATAATAAATAAAGACAAAATAAGAAAAAAAAAATTAAAGTAACGACTCGAACACACCAAACCAATCATTACACATAATGAGTTTTTTTGTTAGATTTAAATAATATAAGACAATAAAATTTAAGTAACAATATTGTATTGTGTTGTATCGTGTTGTACTGTGTTGTGTTGTATTATTTAATGAATACAACGTTTTGATATGTTTTATGGTTACCCTCCTTACATAATTTCACATACAACAATTTGAATAATAATCCTAAAAAAAAAATAGTTTATTGATAGAGCTATTATAAAAAAAGGTAGGGTAAAGAATAAATATTGAATTATTAAATAATAAGTAAAGATAAAATGAGAAACTATATTAAGATAATGACGTGATCACACCAAATCGACCGTTACATAAAATAAGACTTTTCGTCATTATCTAAGGATAGATTTAAACGATTCGATATAGAAATATTTAACTAATAATACAATACAATACAACGGATAGCAACGATCAAATTTAAAGACACTGAAAATAGCCAATTCTGTGTGACTTGCCTCCACATAACCAAATTCCTTTTCAGTCCTCGAAATACTTCTCCGGCCGTCCCATATCGCGCGATAAAAAAATCTGTAGCTAAACAGTAAAATTTCGTCACCAATTTCGTGATAAATTAGCTACCAAAATTTCTATTTATTTATACACAATATTTGTAACTAATTTTTAATTTCATTTTACCTTTTTTGGTTAGTGTATTATTCTATTATTATAAGTGGGCTAGCTTTTGGGTATATATAAGAACGGTAGAATTTGAAAGAAAAAAATAGTAGTTTTTTTATTTTGAAATAGTGTTTGAACATAAATATTAATTTGCGCTATTTTTGAACTTTGTAAGTGATTTAGAATTGAAATTGAGAAAATATTTTCTTTTTGCAGTTTTACTAATTTCTAAAAATTTCAGAATCCAACTTCAAGTAGAATTCTAAAATATAATAATGTCCAAACAATTTTTTGAAATAATATTTCGAGACGAGAGGGAGTTGCTCGAATGGTAAGCACCCCTTGCTTCCAACCCGAAGGTTGCGAGTTCGAGTCACCAAGGGAGCAAAAGGGGTGGGGGAGCTCCTAGGGAGGGTAAAAAAAAAAAAAATTCCGAAAAAAAGTGAAAACTCTCAATAGTGTCAAAGCTCCATTTATATAGGGTGGGGGTGGCTTTGGAGTAAATCTTACTAAAAATATTTGATCATGAAAAATTGAAATCTATAGAGAATTATTCAAAGTGTGAAGTGTATATATTTCACGTAATATAAATGTATTCTCAAAATTCAATAGGTTCTTGTACTGGAGCACATAAACTAACTAAGACTCGGAGAATATTTTCTCTATCTTCCATCCATCACAAGAAGAGAATATATAGTCAAGAAAAATTATTAGCATGAAATATTAAGATTTAAGAATATTTGTTGTTGTGATAATCAAAGCAATTAACGGCTTAATAAAATAAGGTATAATTAAGGAAAATAAAGAATCTATTTCAATGTCAACATTAATAACTATTACGAAGACGTTATTTTTCAGACTCTTGAAATATTCAATGGTGATTAATATTTATTTATCATAGCTAGTAAAAGATAAATAATATGTTGTAATATTTATTAATCATTATTAGTAAAGATTAAAGAATAAATATAAAATGGAAAAAGGTCAAAAATGTCTTTAAACTACGTAAAATAAATAAAAATGTCCTCTGTATGGTTTGGTCCAAAAGTATCCTTGCCATCAATAGTTTGATCCAAAATGTCCTTATCGTTATTTAAAGAGTAAAAAATGCTCATTTTCCAAATAAATATATCATTTATTTTCTTTCTAACACATTCTTTTTCTAATAATATTTTTTAAAATTAGCAAATGTTTATCCTACTTCAATTCAGAATAAAATAAAAAATAAAAATATTTCTTATTTTATTGTAATTATTTTTTATCGTTATATAATTAAAAATTAATGATGAGTATACTATGATATTATATATATGACAAAGAGTACAGGAAGTTATTTTATTTTAATTGATAAAGTGAGATTTAGAAGAAAAAAATTATTTCCTACATTTTCATTTGTAGAAGTAATTTTAAAAGAAAGAAAACAAGAATAGGGTTCTTTAATAACATTTTAATTAGGAAGAAGATATGTTTTTTAAAAAAAAATATATATATATATTCGAAAAAGAGCATTTTGACCCATTTAGTAACTATAGAGGCATTTTTGGACCAAAATAATAACTGCAAGAGCATTTTTTAACCGAATATTGACAGCATGCCGTTTTTTAGCCAAACTATAAATGGAGGACATTTTTTTTCATTTCACACCGATTAAAGATATTTTTGACATTTTTCCCTTTTATATTAGTTTTTTTATCCTTTATTAGCCATGGTTAACAAATATCATAACATATTATTTATCCTTTACTAGCTATGATTAATAAATATCAATCATCTTTGAATATTTCTAAAGTCTGAATAAATGTCTTTATAATAGATATTTAATATTGTTGTTGAATATTTTTAATGACTAGTCATGTTGGCACGGAAACAAATTTTGTATTGTCCTTTATATCCTATTTTACTGCTTTGACTATCACAACAACAAATATTCTTTAGTCTTAATATTTCATGATGATAATTTGAGTTCTTTGACCTATAATATTCACCTTCCTTCTGCTGGATTTCAATTAAAATAATTTGTGCGCCGAATTTACAGTAGAAGGAATTGTTGAATTCTGAAAATAATCTATATCAGATAAAATATTCTTAAGGACGATTATCTTTATATATTTTATGTTGTAAAAAAAATTTCTATAAATTTCGTGATCAATATTTTTCGTAAGATTTACCTCCCACCAGCCACCCCATCGGCCACCCTACCCATACCACCCAAGGCTTTTCACTAAAGATTCAATATTTATTTTATAAACATACAAAAAAAAAACTAGAAAATAACTTTTTAGACTTGGATAAATTCCCTTCCACCCCTAATACTCACATAAACTTAATTCATAAGTCTATTAACAAGAAGACAATCATGTCAAATAGCTATTTAAAATGGAAAAGTGTTATAGCAAAACCATGAAATTCACCAATGAGATTATTCTTTTATTTCTTTAATCATATATTTTGAGTTAAAACTTTAATTATATAAAAAAAATCTTAAAAAATGCTTCTTTCTTAACTTAGTCTTATATAATAATGAGAATTCAAATTATTCAGTATTTCAATATAAATATCTGACATCAAATAAGAAGATCAAGACAAAATGAAATTCCAATATTTGATAAATACCTTCAAGTTCATTATCATCGATGTCATGTGTTCTTCACAAAGTGGTACTCCCTACAACATCAAAATTAATATCAATACCAAGAAACAAAACATATCATTAAAACACATGGATTTTATTCAAGAATAATAAATTAATAGGAGATACCATTTGCCTATTAATTGCTTAGCTCTCAATTAAAGAGTGAGAATATTGGGTACAATTAACTAATTAGTTTGTTCTTATATAATATATGCATTCTATTTAGTTAACTTGCTGGTAGGTAGACACGTGGAGCTCAATAATGCAAATTAGGGGTGTACAAAATCGAACCGAAAATCGAATCAAAACGCAAATCGAGTCAAACCGAGAAAAAAAACTCAACTAGTGGTTGGTTTGACTTGGTTTGGTATTGAAAAAAAAAGCCCGACTATATTTGGGTTGGTTTGGTTTTAACTAAAAAAAATCAACCCAAGATCAAACCAATCCGACATTATATATAAAATTTTAAAATTTTATTTTATACATAAAAAAATTTACTTTGATATAATTTTAAAATATTTCTTATACTTTCTCATAGTTTTTATCTTTTAATATATTATTTCAAGTTTTAAACTTAGAATTCTGAAATGGTTCAATAAAGATTATAGTCCACACATGTTGGTAATTATAATAAAGCTTAAATCAAAATCAAATTAATACTAATGCAAAAAAGAAAACCAATTCAACACTAACACTCTGTTTGGATCATTGTTACCCATTGTTTCATAATGTACTGTAATGTATTGTACTATATGGTAGATACAATGTTTGGCTAGACTGTATTGTTTGTTGTTGTTTAATAACGTTTTTATTGTTTGGTTTGACTGTATTGTACTGTATTGTAATTTATAAATGTACTAAAATATCCTTAATTATTCTAGGGTAGGAGGTTTGACTGGAATTAAATAATATAGGCTAAAAGGTAAAAAAATATTATGAAATATTATGCCATGATATAATTGGAAAAAGAAATTAAGTAACAATGAGAACACACCAAATCGGTTGTTCCATAAAATGGGGGTTTCCATTGTTATGTAACAACGAAATTTAACAATACAATACAATACAATACATTTTAAGTAACAATCAAAACAAACATTGTAGGTATGGTAACGATACAATACAATACAATGGGTAATAATGATCCAAACATAGAGTAAGAATGACAACAATATTGAATATTTATTCTTTGGTTTTACATTGGTTTAGACAATTCAAATACATAATCTAATTTTAATTCCTTTAATATTTAGTCATGTAACTAATACTTATTAAACTTATTTTTAGCATGATTTCGTACTTTTAAATTATGATCATTTTCATTATGACTTGTTAATTTGCAATATTTGTTTTACGCGATTTCATTATTATTATTTTTTTACTGGATATTTTAGTGTCATTACTCATATCATATTTTGTGTTATTTTCTTAAGAAACACCTTAGATAGTTGTATTTTGGTAGGACTAAAGAAATATTTGAAGTACAAGTAAATTATATGTCTGTATGAATACTTTATCGAAAAAACCCAAAAATCTGAAAAATTCGAAAAAATCCGAAAAACCCCGAAGTTAAAAAACCCGAGTTTATTGGTTTGGTTTGGTTTATAGATTTAAAGATCCGATACAAATGATTTAGTTTGATATTTGAAAAACCCGAACCAACCTGGTCATGTACACCCCTAATGCAAATAATAAGTGACTTTTTGAAAATGGCCAAAAAATCAGAATGGATCAAAAATAATTTTTGGATATTGTACGTACATATAATAAATTGACTCGTAAATGGATGAGAGGGGAGGACAATAATGATATTGGTCAATTCACTACTAAAATAATAGTATGAATTTTCCATCTACGTCTTATCAAAAATTGGCTCATTGTTAGAAAAATATTTCGACAAAAGTCCTATTTATGAAACTATCGATAAAGGAAAGAAGGGGCTTAAGAAAGAGAGAAATGATTCACAGTAAAAGGAGTAATCATGTATTGGTTTATCAGAACTAATGACTTTTGTTGAAATCACAATATTTTTTTGTTTATGTTTCGAACACATTAAAATAAGAATTCACTTATAAGCTTTGAAAAATATTTTTTAAAAGACCAAATACACCCCAAGTAAGTCTAATATATGATATCTAAAAAATAATTAAATAGCTTACTTTATATACTAAATTATACTCCCTCTGTCCCAATTTATGTGAAGTACTTTGACTCGGCACGGAGTTTCAGAAAGGAAGTAAGACTTTTAAAACTTGTGGTTTAAAATAAATTATAGAAATTTGTGTGGCTGTAAATCATTTCATTAAGGGTAAAATAGATATTTTATAGTTAAATAGTTACTTTATATAGAAATGTGTCATTTTTTTTTGGACTGACTAAAAAGGAAAATAAGTCATATAAATTGGGACAGAGGGAGTATAAATTGACGTGAGAGTGAAGGTTAATTTTGTGCAAGATTTGGTTTCTCTTTTAGCAAGATTTAGGTCTAATAATTTGATAGTACGAAGAAGTCTTATTGGACCTATATAGTTGAGGAGATATTGAAAATGACATAAGTTTATATATATATATATATATATAATTTGTATATTTGGCAAGCGACTGTTATTATTATGATTGATCGGCTAAATGTGTAATTTGTGCTCTTATATAAAATTACACATTAATTATGTGTACAATATGATGTATACTCTCCTAGTCCTAATTTACGTGGCTTATGGGGATGGCAAAATCAACCTATAAAATTATGATATGCCCGATCCGTTTAGATTTTGACATTTTAAGAATCCACACATTTCATTAATTAAGTTTATTTTGATTTGCTTAGTTCAACTCATTTTAAAACTGGCTGATATGTAACTCAAATGGACTCATTAGAAATTTTATCTAAATAGTTTTAATAAAGACATTGTTTATTTATGTAACGACCCATTTGGTCGTTTTGAGTACTAGAACTTTTTATTTCATAGAATACTCTTTTCCAAAAAAGATTCTAAATGGATATTTTGGACTATTCATAACTACATTTATAGAATTAATTGGGTAGTTTTTAATAATTAATTTAATTGGTGGTTAATGAACTAAGTCCATAATTTATTTAATTAAATTACCATATGGCCCATGGATAGGAATATATAAATTAGAGGGTTTAGTATTTATTTAATACTTAATTAAAAGAGGAGAAAAGAGGAGTTACAACCGAGAAGAAGCAGCAAATCAGGTAAAGAATCAACCTTGGTATATTTTATATGTATGAACATATATACATATATAGATTGTAGGATTAATTATTTAATAATGGAAATGATCATTAGCAGTATATGGTTGTTTTGGCTTATGTACGTTGTTCAGTGGCTTTCTTCAGTGGTAGGATTTGTACGTACTGACTGGTTCAGAGGTAGTGCCACTGGTTTCGTAACCAGTGGCCTCAACTTTAATTATTATTATATTATATTATAAAGTGGAAGTGTGCATATGTATAGTATTTGATGTTAGATGAATGCTGAGAGAAAAGTTAATCAGGCCACAACATTAATGATGGAGTATTAAAGTGTAGGTGTATAGGTGGAGGTGTTCATTGCCACTGGCGGCTTGAACTTTTAAACATTAAAATGTTTTTATTTTATTTTGATGTATTGAGATAAATAATTGTAAAAATTAGGCAAATGACATAGTATAAGAAAGAAATTACTTCCTTTCCCTACTCTTTCATTAATTACCAAAAATCCCTTTTTTTAGTGTTTTTCGGATACATAATATAGCAGCGCAGATACTTTAATTAATAGTGCGGATACTTTAATTAATAACGGGATACTTTAATTTATAACGGGCGGATACTTAAATTAATGGGCAGATGCATAATATAGCAGCACGGATACTTTAATTAATAACGGGCGGATACTTAATCTAATAAAGTAGCTGGTTAAGTTGAATTGGGGGGAAATAAGGGATTTTTATATTTTAGTAAAAGAGTAGGGAAATATTGAGAATAGGTAAAGAAGTGTTGTGTATTTAAGTAATTTTTCCTAAATAATAAATATTAGGTGTCTCGTATTATTTAAACTTCATTTAAGTTATGCTAATTGGAAGAATTTAGAAAACCCTTAGGCTTGAACTTTAAGAAATTGATTATAGTTTTGGGTGTTTATATACTCGTTAATTTACAAATTATATAGATTGGAAAGGTTCGGAGGCATTGAGGAAAGGAAAAGTAGCTTGCTTGACTTCGGCTCTTCGGTGTAGGTAGGTTATGGTTTATTTTATTTGATAGATAGACTCTTAATAGTGATTGATATGCATTGAATGATATTGTGAAGTTCTCTATGTACTTGATGGTGTGATTGTGTAGCTTGGTTGTGTGGTTTGTGATTTGTCTAAAATCCTGAGACCGTGGAATTTATAATCTTGAACCCTCTCTATCGAAGTGATGCTTTGAATAAAGAAGGCTTGATGAAATATTGTTAATGAATTGAAAAGTGGTGATAATAAATGATAAATTAATGATATTATTGGATCGGAGTGTCATGTTTCGACACGGTATTCTTGGACCGGAGTGTCACGTTCCGACACGGTATTATTGGATCGGAGTGTTACGTTTCGACACGGTATTCTTGGATCGGAGTGCACGTTCCGACACTATATTCTTGGATCAGAGTGTCACGTTCCGACACAGTAACATTAAAGGAAAAAGATATTGAATTAGCTTAATGTACTCAACCTCAAAGAACCCATTTCCCAAATGAGCATGGTGTGGAGGCATGAGTCCCCATATGTGTGTTGGATATTGTGATTGATTGTGTACTGGCTTCCGTTGTCACTTGTTCATGATGTTTGTTGCTTGTCACCTGCTAAGTGTCATAGTTGATTTTATACTATTATTCATTGCATATTAGTTTCTATTTTGGGTTGGCCGATGATACCTACTCAATACGTGTTCCTTGTACGGACCCCTACTTGTGTTTTCTTCGTTTTTCTTTTGTGGAGTACAACAAGTGTACCATCGACTTCGACTCTCCCTAAGCTCTAGCCGGTCTCTAGCACATCAGATTTCAGGGTGAGCTATAATTCCTTCTAGCTCGTGCTGGATTCTCTCAGTCATGGCATGATGTCCTTAAATTTCGGACATGGACCATCTTCTTTACTTATTTTGGTGTCTTTAATGCTCTTAGACT